AATAGTATTTCATGCAGTTAGGGAGGCTTTGGGGAAATTATTTTTAAAAACTTAATTTACTGAATTCTATGGCTGTGAGAGCTGGACCATAAAGAAAGTTGCAATGGGTCGGGCATGACTTTGCGGCTAAACAAACAAAAAAAATCACAAAAATGGAATTACAATTATACAACTTTACGTGCAATTGCATATGCTATGTTGGTTCAGAAAACATAAAAAAATCCATTAGGGAAACAGTTTTTTAAGCTAGCTAAAGGTCTTGCATATTGGACAAGATGGTAAGCAAAGCAAAACAAGATAGATGTTTAAGCTATGTAGTCTGCATTTAGTTATTTTCTTAAGATGAAATGTGGGAGCAAACATTCAAATTAGATTTTACCAGGCACTGAGATGGTTTCAGGTTGTAATAATGACTATCTTAAAAGTTGTTGGTTTGGACAAACACACGAAAATAGATTGAAATTTAAAATATTGAATCAGCACTTGCATATAGTCAAGTATAATTAAATGTTATATTAGGTTTATTCCAGTATACTATGCTAAGTACATTTGGTTTCACCACACTTACTATTGAGAAATTTAGTAACTGCTTTACCAAATGCTGTGATTGGCATATGAACATTTGGCAACAACTGAAAAACTATCTACTATTTGCATGCCAATGTGAACTTCAAATGGAACAAGTGAAGTGATGGGCAGGAAAAAATATGCAAGACCAGTCTAAATATATGACACTTCAAAGAATAAACATAACATGCCATCAGGTCATCTCTGAATTATGGTGACCCTATAAATGAATGCTATCCAAATAGTCCTGTCTTTGACAGTCCTGTTTAGCTCTGTCCTTCCAGGTCTTTTCAGAGCAGCTTTCACTTTGTTTTCTAATATTGCAGGTTCTTCCTCATAGGATTCCTCTTCAAAAGAGTCTATCATCCTTTTATCTCTTCTGTATAGTTCTTCTGTATATTGTTTCTTTATCTTATTTTATTCTGGTCAGATACTATGCTTCTCTTTTGGTCGTTCAGCATTCCTAATCTAGGTCTGAATTCCCCTTTTATTTCTTGAATCTTTTAGAAGATGTCCCATTTTTCCTGTTGTGTTGATCTCTTCTATTTGTTTTCACTGGTCATTGTAAAAGTTCTTTTTGTCTGTATGTGTGGGTCACTGAAAATGCAGTATTATGACCTATTTCTCTCACCATTCACTTTAGCCTGGCCTTAGCAATTGTGAATGTTTGTTCCGTCAACCATCTAGGCATTTTTTCTTTTTACTCCAGGAACTGTCTTTTGCATCTTTCCCTAATGATGTCTCCGGTTTCAGTCCACAGTTTTGCTGGTTCAGTCAGTCGAATTCTGTAATGCAAATTTGTTTTTTATGTGGTTTCTAAATTCCTCAGGAATGTCATTTAAGTTGTATTTTGGCACTGTATTTCTGTGATCTTTTTCAGCTTTACTCTGATTTCTGGTATTAATAGTTCATGTGCACTACAGAAGTTTGCTCCTCATCTTGTTTTGACAGAAAGAAAATACCTTGTCCACCTCCTACCTCTAATTATATAGTCTATTTGATCTTTGTATTGGCCATCTGGCAGTGTACATGTGTACAGTAATCTGACTGGCTGTCTGAAGTCCTGAATCCAGTCTGGAATGAATTCCAAAAACATATAATAGCATTACGACTGCAGAAATACTGTGTGTGGAATGTAATATAAGTATGTAATAGATACCATGTGATAATCTGAAAGCACAAGTTTAATGCACTAAGTTCTGAAAAAGGAGGTGTTGCATGATAATTAGATTAAGTCTATGAAACTGAAGTGGGGATGAAGTAGAGACTTAAGCAACAACTATTCCTTAAAAGTCTTGGGAGAGCAGAGATTAAACTTTTGCTAAACAGGAAAGATTGCCTAGCTCTATTGCTAACTTTGCTTAAATGCAAAGCTGGGGAAAAACCTGTGTAACAGGTTTTTTATCTGAACATAGTGTGTGCAATTTTAGATGATGTGTCCAAGTAGCATGGGGTGGGGAGGGGGGAAAGCAGGGCAAATGTACTGCTTCCCAAAATGAGGGGAAGTAAATATTTGTTGCAGAAGTGGTCCCTGAAGTTTGGTTAGGAGCTAAACATTGGCTAAACCAAGTAAATGATCCCTCCTGAATGTCATTTTAAGTTTGTGAGAAATATGTCCTTTAGCATGTCCTGCTTTTCTTCCCTACTCCCCATTTGATTTAATATCCAGCTTGAGAAACCTTGAAAAGTTACTTACAATTTTGTGATACCTTGGCTCTAATGAAAGCACTACCATACTGTTTTATTTATTTATTTATTTATTTATTTCTATACCACCCAATTGCTGAAGGTTTCTGGTTAGTTTCCAACATTTCCAACCGTCCCAAGATACCAGTAGATGGACAGTCTATAAAAGCCTTAAATAATAAATAAATATTTCTTAAAAATACAATAAAATGCCCTAAAATTCAAAATGCTCAAGCCACAAACCTGCTCCTTCAAGGAGAGTGCAACCCCATGTTGAACAACCTCCATCCAATCAAAGGAACCTCCCACGAACAACATCTCAGCCTTGTTTGGTTTCTCATTTTGTTAGCCCTTGGGCAGTCCATGGCTGAAGCCAGGCATTGGTTTAGCACATCCACAGCCTCACCTCCTGCTGATGAAAAGGAGAAATGGAGCTATCAATGTACTTCAAAACTCCAGATGACCCACTCAGTGGTTTCATGTACATATTAAACAGCATGGGTACAGAACAGACTTCTAAGGAGCTCCATGCTGGAGAATCCAGAGGGTTGAACAATATTCCTCAAGTTTCACCATCTGGAGACAGCCCTCCGAGTAGGAGTGGAATCACTACAATGCAGTATCCCCAACTCCCAATTCAGAGGAACCTAAGAAGGATATCATGGCTGATTGTATCACCAGCTGCCATGAGTATCACACGAGTATCCATAGGCTTGGGGACACATTCTCCAAAGCTCAGTGGCATAGGTCATCATGCTGGGTGACCAAGGCTGTTTCTGTGTCAAAACCAGGCCTGAACCCTGACAGAAATTGATCTGGATAATCAGTCTCATCCAATAGAAATATAGAAATAGAGCAAGTCAGAAGGGTTCTCCCAGGCCATCTAGTCTGACCCCCGGGCTCCAGCTGTCTCCGTTCACAACATGCCTCTCATGTGCATGTCTAGCCTATCCTTGAATACCCTCATTGATGAGGCCTCAACCCATCAGTGAGGGTGTTCAAAGATAGGCTGGACATGCACATGGTGGGCATGTCGTGAGTGGAGCCGGCTGGTGCCAGAGGTCAGACTAGATGGCCCAGGAGACCCCTTCTGACTCGCTCTGTTTCTCTGTTTCTAACTCCCGTGGAAGCCCATTCCATACCCTCGAGGTCCTAAGTGTCAGGAAGTACTTCCTGGCATTCAAGTTGAACCCTGGTTCCCCAAGCTTCACTCCACTGGAACACGTCCTGCCCTCCTCTGCAGGGAAGAAAAGGTCTCTACCCACCTCCGTGTGACACCCCCTCACATACTTGTATGTCGCCAACACATCCCCTTGGAGTTTCCTCTTCTCCAGGCTGAAAAGACCCAGTTCCCTCAGTCTCGCCTCATACAGCTTTCCCTGCAAAGCAGCCACCAACCTTGTGGCCCTACACTGCACTGACTCTAACCTGGCTATATGCTTCCTGTAATGAGGGGTCCAAATAGTGCCTGGAGTTGGTTGGCAGCAAGGAACCAATACCTCTGGCAAGGAGGCATTAATTGCCTACCTGGCCTAGCCAATTGTTGCTTCTCTGCTAGCTTTTATAAATCAAGAAGAGCAAGATTCCAGTAAAGAGGTGCTTGTACATATCCAAGCACCATATAAACATCTTTGAGCTGCACCAGCTGAACCTCATCCAATAAAACTGGACCAGGTTGTGCTCTGGGCATCTCAACATGTTCAACTGCTTTTCAGATCTAAATCATGGCAGATGCAAGCAATTTTTTTCCTGGAACTGCCCAGCAAATATATTAAAGTGGGCTTCAAATGAGTCTAGGATGTATTAGGGCCAGCACATAATAGGCTCCAGATGGCCCTATAAAGCTCCACTGTGTTGCAAATGAAAAACTGAATAAAGCAGTGAGATGTGTTTCTTTGCTAATCCCACTTCCTCTAAATATGTCTGACTATAGGCATACACCAGGATTCAATGACTTGTGGATTTTTCTAATGGATCAACAGAGCTATCCATACTTTTTGCATTTTAAGTTATTATTAAGATACATTTGTACCATATATTAATAGTTGTATTTATATTAAATGTTATTCATATAAAAAGGCATTTACCAGCATTTCATTTCATGCTAGCAAAACCAAGAAAAAATAAAAGCATGGGACTGAAGAGGTACTGCTGAGTTTGGTTTTTCAAGCTTGAATGGCTGAGATTCTGGATGCCATTCAGAGGGGAAAACCTGTCCTTCACTTGTCCCCTTGGTTGTGGTGACTCAGGCCCCACTGACTTTCTGTAGGATGATGCAAGTTTCTCCATTTACGATGGGAGTGCACCTCGATACCGCTTGCATTATACAAGCCATTCCCGCGCGCACACCCATTCACCTGTTACAACAGAAGCTCTGCTGATCCCCCAGCTTACTACTCAACTACGACCCTTTAATTTTATGTTCACGCGGGGGGAGGGGAGTGCGGTGAATAAGGAATGCTGGAGAGAATATGGTATAACTGTTGGTAACAGACTGTTAAAGGGTAGCCAAACATCATTAAGCAAACTACCGCGTTAAGTTTTAGCTTCTCGAGGCTACTTCCTTGAATTTCTGCGTAAAGCTGAAAGAACAACCAGGGTAACTACGCTCTCTCTCCCTGTTTGCCAGGGCCCGGCCCCCAAGGTGAGGAGGAGCCATAGCAGGGGCGGGCCGGCTGCGGAGGAAAGGCGGGCTTGAGGCCTCGCCATCGCCTCCCTTCTTTGCTGAGAGCCGCCGCCTCCCGCTTCCCAACATCCCCCGCGCTGCAGCGAGAGCCTCTACCGGGTCGGCCGCCGCTGGTTCTGCACCGGCTGCTCCCGCAGCTGCCTTCGGCTCCGCCATGGCCGCCTACAGCAAGTTTCTCACCGCACGTTACTCCACTATAGCCGGCGGAGCTGCTGCCGCTTGCGCTCTTCTCTGCCTGCTGAGCAAACGGCGGGGGGCGGCTGCCCAGCACGGGTGAGTAGCCCAGGCCGGCGGCGATTCGTGGAGGGGGCTGGTGGACGGGAACTGAGCATGGGGAAGGGGCGGCAGTGGGGGACCTGGGACTGGCCAAGGGAAGAGACTGGTTTTCTTGCCCCGGTGTTGATAGAAGGTGGAGGGGTGCTGTGAATGGGGTAAATAGTTCCCCCTCCCCAGAAGTCAGGGGGGAGGTTTCAGGTTGAAAGTGGGGGTGGGGAGAAGTGGGAACAAAGGAAACCCTGATGGGAACCCCGACGAGTTAGGTCTGAGCAAGGGTGGAGCTCTAAGAACCCTTGTAAAGCAGATGTACGTCGAGCCAGGCTGTTAGAGCATATCTCCCTGTATTGTCCAGGGCTTGAAGATTTCCAAATCCTGTCATCAAATAGTCTTTTAGTTGGAAATGCCGGGGATTGAACCTGAGGGTTCTTCTACATGGAAAACGTGCTGTCCCACCTTAGGTTTTCCTTTTTTTCTTCTCCAGTAGGTTCTGATTATTTATTCTCAAAACAGGTGGTAGTTCAACAGGTGTGCTTCTGCCTTTGCACATCCTCTGTAAATCCAGCTCTGTGGGCACGTGGGCTCACACCCAAATACTCAGCAGGTCCATGCTTGTGTTGTTTGCATAGTGCTATGTCATTAGATGCTCTGAGGCTGGGGATTCACTAGGAGATATGATCGTGTGTTTATACATTGTTTTAGTGCATGTGGAGATCTTTACATGCACTATAAATGGTTGGTTTAAGATAACTGGGTGACCATAGTACATGCAAGGCATATTGCCATAGGAAGAAAAATTTATTGAACTTCTGCTTGTCATGCCATACTTAAAGGAACCCTATTTAAAAAGCTGGAAGCACAGAGTTCAGCCAAGGAAATGGAGAGTGTAGGGCTTTCATGTGATTTTAGTTTTTAGGGTGGCACCCCTTTTTGCTGCTTAATGATGCTGAGGCTTGCTTAAGAGTCTTCTTTTTACACAGGGAACTAGCTGTGAAATTGGTTTCCACCCATTTCTCTGAGGAAAGGGAGTGCTGTTATATTTACTCTTTAAAGAGGAATGTATGTTATAGTGCCTTAAAGTTATAGACATTTGGTAATTAGCCTTCATAAAATGCAGATTGTGGTTGATACTCTAGGTAACCTATTTATTACTAAGGCAAAGTTTCTTAAAGAGAAAGTCCTTCTACAAAGCTCAAGAAGTATGCATGTCTATGCAAAGAACTGGAGTCAAAATGCCAGCTTAAAAACTGATGAGCACAATCCTTTGGCCCTGTAGATAGCATGTAGGCAGGGCCGTCTTAACACATGGGCCTGATGGGCCCCATACTAATCTGTGTATGTTAACCCTTGGAAAATTGGAAAACTTCCAAAATTAACAGTAGTTGTAGTTGTCGTAGGGGCCCCAGTACACTGCTTTGCCCGGGGCCCATAATGCTGTTAAGACGACCCTGCATGTAGGGGGCCATAGGATAGTTTGGTATTCAAGATCTGTCCTGCGGATCTGTGCTTTGATCTCTCTCTCCTCCTTTGCTGCTAGCAAGGAAAGAACAGTGCTGGGTATATCTCTGAGATCAAGATGGTGGAGAAGAGGGTAAAGGGGGCATGTTGTGTTGATGGGAGGAGCTTGAGGTGCCAGGATGCAAGCTAACTTGATGGTGCTCCATCTTCCTTCCCTTCTCCTTCAAGGTGCCTCAGCTAGATAGCTCAGATCAGCCGACTAGCTAAGATGCTGAATGGAAAGTGCGAAGAAAACACGATTACTGCCCAGTTCAAGGATAGAATTATTCTTAAACTCTTTACTTCTCATAATTAAAGCTTTGGAGAGGCAGTTTGAATTTTTAGAAAGGGAAGAATCCCTGCACAAAGCCAGGGAACCACCATTCATTAGTCAAGGGAAGGCAGGTAGATTGGGAACCTGGACCTGAAGTTCTCACCCCTGCTGTATATAGATACAAAACATTTTATATTGTTTGAGATTTGCCTTGTAAAAACTGCTAGGTAATTATATGTTTATTTGAAGTAGCTGCTATATAGGAATAAGATGAAGAGCATTTTTCTAATTTTTAGAATACAGTAGTCACCTTCTTTTGGAACGGAGACAGTAAATCTTGGGCATAAAATTTTCCAGATGCACCATCTTATTGTGCAAATGAACTGTTCGTTCATTTGATGCAGCCTGCAACTTTTATTTGGGAACAAATTTCTGTAAGTAAGTCATTTTTTCAGAGTTTGTGATAGTACCTATACAGAGGATGATGCATTCTGGATTTCACAGTTGCAGCCTTTATGAAGTATGTGTGTGTGTATATATACACCTACAAACTATGAATGTGTTTTTTCATAGATTAGACAAATGTGGGCTGCAGGACAAAAAGGAATGTTGTCCTTGTTATGTAGTGATATTACTATTAAATATTTGTGTATTTAATTTTTAATAGTAGTGTGGTAGGTATAAATACATAATAGTGAATTGACATCTCTGCCTAAATGAAAAGACAAATGAAGAGATACCAATTTTTAATAGGGCTGTGAAATTATCAGACTGCTGAATTTGAATAAGGAAAACTGAAGCAGATATGGTAAATTTACTGAGTAGTGTTTACTTAAGCTATTTTGTATAAGAGCATTTTTTATTATTTCCATTCCTCAGCCGATTTGCCAAATTTGACCTGAGTGCCAAGTTGAGAGTGACAAAATCTGAGGACGTAGTACATCTTCTACATCCCTGTAAGAAGGAAAAGGACAGGGTATAAATATAATAAACAATATTATAGAGGATGTGGAATAGACTTGAATAATTAGTGAGGTATGAAATGTGGATGATAAAGTACTTAAAATGATGGTACTGGAAGAACTCCTAGTGTGTAAGATCAGTTTAGAAAGCAGACAGCAGAATGTCAGGAAGAGGTCTTGGACAGTGGAAGGCTGGGTGGCTGCGCAGTAAAGCAATAGAAATGGTATCATGATGAGAGCTGGTGATTTTTTTTTTTTATTTTCTGTGGTGACAAATATGGAGTAAGACCTCTCAGGTGGGAGGGAGTTGGGATTTCTAGCTTATTTATCTAGATATCCATAATTATTGGCTTAAGTTACTAGCCACCCTCTACTTGTGCTTTCCCTGTTACTCCCCGGAAGCCTGTGGTTTTCACAAAAGGTGCAAGGCAGAGGCAGGGCCATGCTTTTACAGGCTGTATCACAAAGGTGAGAAATGGTAGGAGAAAATCCAGCTATTTCTTTTCTTGACCAGCTCTCAGCATGGGTGACTGAAGATCTTGCTTCTCTCTGAAGTAGGGGATTAAGCAAAGAGGTGGGATCTTAATTCACTTGCACTGAAGTCGGGAAATGATAAGAAAGCATATGGTAGTCATCTTCTGCAATCCAGTGCTCAAATGAAAGTTCAGGAAAAGAGATATGTTGCTGAGCATTATGCTTGTTTGATTAATTCATAGATACACTACTATCCTATCTTTTTTCCTCCAAGGAATCCTAGGTAGCATATATAATCTCACTCTCCATTTTATCCTTCTGACAACCTTTTCAAATAGGTTACACTGAGGGGCAGTGATTGGCCAAAAGTTACCCAGTAAAATTTATGGTCTGAGTTGAGGATTAGAATTCAGACACCCTAATTCTAGACAGACACTCAAACCACTATACCACGCTGGTCCTCTGAATGTATGTTTCACATTTCCCAAAATATAATAGTTTTGATATTTCACTATGCCCTATGAAAGGCCATATACTGTATAGCGTAAGCTCTCTGACAACATTTGGTAAACATTACTGAATGTTCTGCATGTTAACATGAAGCATGTACAAGTAGGTTATTAACTTTTGCCCTACTCAGATGAATGATTATTTCATGATGTTGAAATGCTTCAGTCATTCTGTACACTTTCCTTTTAACTGCAAAGGCATCGAAAAACTGGATTAGAGTTGACGATAGGCTTTTTGAGAAGTATTATGTCGACAGTCTTGTGTTAATAATGTCGGAGTGTGTAATGCTTCAAGTCTCTGCAGTAGTAAGTGCTCCTTATTTCAGTAGGAATACATCTTTTGTTTGTTTCATTAACTTCCCAAAGTAAACAATAATAGCTAGACCTTTCTATGTAAAAGCTGTTACTGTCAAAGAAAGGTAGCATGCAAATAAATGGATTTGGGAACTTGAGAGCAAGGTTTGTTTGTTTTTTAAAAATATCATTCAGAGTTAAATTGAGATGTTTTGTGACCCGAGATGGAATAGCAATCGGTGCCTTCCCAGCTCCAAATAGCAAAGTGTGCAGTGCCTAACGCTGGCACAATTATTTTGGTACCTGAGTTGGAACTCCCATGTACTTTTCTCCCTCTTAGAAATATATGCAATGAAGTAATGAATTGCTTCCTTTTCGTGACATTTGAAACCCAGTGCTGGAGGCAATTAGCTTACTTTGCCTTCTGGCAGGGCTATCCCTGCTGCCAGTGAACCAAATGAAGGCAGTGCTAATATGCCTAAGATTGGGCAAATGTAGAGAGGCATTCTTCCTCGAAAACTTAGTGAAGAAAATTACAACCTGAATTGTGGATAGGGAGAATCCAAGTTAGTGTAAGCTGGGCTTCCCCAACCTGGTACCTTCTAGATGTGTTGGGACCGCAACTCCCAAAATGCTGGCTACAGTTATGGTCCTAACTGCCTGGTTGAGGAAATTGTTGTAAAAATTTGTAGCTCTGTCTGACTCTTGGAAAAGCCTAGCATTGAAAGGGATATAGAATAAATTTAGTCGTAGCCCTGTTGTCCCATAAGAAAATAAGATTTCAACAGGTCAAACCAGTGGTCCATCTATTCAGCATTTTGTTTTTAGCAACTAGCCAGATGTCTTTGGAAAATATAGAAGCAGAGCATAAAAGGCAATTGATCCCTTCACCTGTTATTTGTCCCCAGTGTCACTTCCCAGTCTTCTAGTATCTGGGCTAGCAAGTGGAATCTAGTTACTCGATCCTTTGTAGAAAACAGCAGTGAAAGG